CGGCGAGGTCTCAGGATGCCGCCTGCAGACAGTCACCGCCACCAACTTGCTTGGCTTCTCCAACGCTGCTTCGCGAGAAATGAACCGCCAAAAGTCCTGAACCGATGGGCCTAACCTACCTATAGACTACACAAGACCTAAACTGGACTGACTGACCAACCGGTGTCGAGCGCATCAGCCCTCGCACAAACGAGGGTTCTCCCGGCCATGTCACGCAGGAGTTCAACAAATTCTAGAGACAACTCGGGAACGACGCATAACATTCCGCGAACCGCCGAGACGGACGTGGTTGCATCGCTCCTTCGCCGCTCTAGCCGGGTGCGCCAGTTGTACATCCCGCGGTCCCCTACGACAGGACAGGTTCCCGCAGGGCATAAGCTTGCTTCCCTAAGGGGTTGTCACCACCCTTAGGGGCGTATCCCTACCAAGCTAGTGACCCACGTGCGAAAGCTTTTAGATGCAATTGCAGAGGTAGGTCAACCGAGGGTGTTTGCTCGTTTGCTGTAGTATAGATACATTTGGTTAACGCCAAGTGGACCCGATCGTCGTTTGTTCCTCGGGCGCTGATCTCCAAGGTGCGGAGCTAACGTCGGTCGACTAGGACGGTCTCAACCAAACGTGAAACCCTCAACTTAATCCTAGTCCCTTAGACATGAAGTCAAACGAAAGTTAAAACATCCACAAATAATTATATCAAAAGGAGTTGACCGTAGCCGATAAGAACGTACCTGTCGAGCGCATCGGCCCCCGCGCGAGTGAGGGCCGTCCCGGCCATGTCACGCAGGAGTTTAAACAAAAAACTTACCAATATAGAGACAATTTGAGAACGACGCATAAGTAATCCCGCGAGCCGTCGAGACGGTCGCGGTCGCGTCGTCTCTTTGTCGCTCTAGCCGGGTGCGCCAGCTGTACATCCCGCGGTCCACCATTAAAACAAAAATGGAATCGGGATCCTTATAAAAGTTCCATGTGAAAGCAACGATCACAATCTAATAATTCCGGAACTAAGACGAAACTTTTACGACAATTCATAACAGCACAATAACAAAACTGGATTTAGCCTCCACAAACCTTCACTTGAAAAGAAAAAATGGATTTAGCCTCCATGAGCTTCACTTAATACAACAAAACTGGATTTAGCCTCCAGAAGCCTTAAATCATTACTAATCATATGTGGATGGTATGATACCAGATATGGCCTCTGGCAAGCCTTATCAAACTTGGACCCAGGTCTAGCCCTTGGAAGCCTTCAATTCAGAGGAACTTTTTCAGAATGATCCCAGCATCATCCCACTGGCGGCCACTCAAAACATCATTTAGTCTCTCATAATGGTACCGGAAAAGCTTCCGACTAGCCTTCTAAAACGAAATCCATTCAGTCGATACCTGCGTTGCACCTGAATAAAACTCAACTGAGTCAGGAATAACCCCTGACAGGTCTTCTAAACGTATCAACTTCCTGGAGTTGTTCAGACGTAGTCTGAACGGACTATTCAGCAAGAAATCATTCGTCCAAAGTTCCCCGACCAAGTTATGATCCTCATTTCATTCCACATAAGTTATCAAGCCCGTTGCTTCTGAATTCCTTGTGAATGCGTCAAGGAGTGGTGTTATCCGTATGAGGATAACATCTCGACATCAAGCCCCGCTTTAGATTCGAGTCTCACCACATTCCCTCCGATTCCAGTGTTTTCGATCTTATTAGTCCTGTGCATGTAGAGTAGAATTGCCGCACCTCAAATGACCAAGGCTGGCTAGACCCCGACCATAAAGGTATGGTGACCATGCGTGACACAAGGTTAGGTAGCCACTCCTCCCCTCATGCCAAACAATAGTCGCCTACCCTACAAGCATCATTCTAATAAGACCTCAACACTTTCCTCTCTTTCAGTGATAGTATAGTCCTCCTTCCCTTAAACCTCATAGGGTACAGAAGACAACATCCCACTATGGACCAGAAGCATAGCTCCGGCGCGAGCCTCACTACCACCTACATAGCTCACTAATCCATCAGAAATTTATCGTGACATGATAATGCCTTCAAAAACTTCACAAAATTCAAGAACAATAATACAATTTACAACAAACGCTTTCACATGAAATTTCATAATGATCCAGGCTAAATAATCTTCAACAGTAAGTTTAAATGCCTTCGATCATAGAAATGCATAACAAAACGGATAATCTCGAAATGGATAAGAGTCCGGATAAACTGATCGATCGGAATATACATCATTCTAATATAGTAATCAAATGCATGACTAAATAAATCTGCAAGCTCATGATAAAATATCCGATTGAAATATGACACATGAAAACATTCATTTTCAACACGATAGCTTGAGATTTATAGATAACTTCAATGAACATTAAAACAATAACAAAATACGACTCAATTAATATCAAGACATAAAATCTTTACATCCAACTGAAATGTCCAAAATAATCTTTAGAATAAAATCAACACATAATTCACAGGGAGAAAATGATTAAAAAAATTAATTGATAGAGATAAATAAACAGAAAACGATAAATTTATCCACTGTAAAATAAAATACATGAATGTCGCTCCGCTAAGAACAACGGTAGTTTGCCGTTATCCCTGGCAACGGCGCCACCTGTCGAGCGCATCGGCCCTCGCACGAACGAGGGTCCTCCCGGCCATGTCACGCAGGAGTTTAACAAATTCTAGAGACAACTCGGGAACAACGCATAACATTCCGCGAACCGCCGAGACGGATGCGGTTGCATCGCTCCTTCGCCGCTCTAGCTGGGTGCGCGAGCTGTACATCCCGCGGTCCCCTACGACAGGACAGGTTCCCGCGGGGCATAAGCTTGCTTCCCTAGGGGGTTGTCACCACACTTAGGGGCGTATCCCTACCGAGCTACTGACCCACGTGCGAAAGCTTTTAGATGCAATTGCAGAGGTAGGTCAGTTGAGGGTGTTTGCTCGTTCGCTGTAGTATAGATACGTTTGGTTAACGCCAAGTGGACCCGATCGTCGTTCGTTCCTAGGGCGCTGATCTCCTAGGTGCGGAGCTAACGTCGGTCGACTAGGACGGTGTCAACCAAACGTGAAACCGTCAACTTAATCCTAGTCCCTTAGACATGAAGTCAAACGAAAGTTAAAACATCCACAAATAGTTATATCAAAAGGAGTTGACCGCAACCGATAAGAACGTACATCAGATCCAAAGTAAGAACTGGGAGAGTCAAAATTATAATTTGATATATCCAATAACACAGGATCGAAATACAATCCGACCATCTTTGGTCGAACACCACAAAACAATCAAATAACCGCCTACAAGGAGTCGACTATCGACAATCATATAGCTGCAGCCGACAAGATAGTCGGCTGCCTTAGTCATGACTTGATGAGACACGTTGCCAAAGTCATTTATTTCAGCCTATCGCCGACCTGAGATTAAGCACGCACACCTGTCCCCATACACGCTTAATATTATTGAATGACAGGCTGCTTTGCGGATGATTCTTGATCAGGGGCATTGCTTGAAGTGTTGCATGCGTCTCCGTCTAGGAAGTGGTTTGGGATATTCCTCCTCCTCGTCCGAGCACAAGACTCGGATCTCAGAAGTCGGGCCGTCTCCAACGAATCGGCAAATACGTCCCCGTAGAACGGTCCACTCTGGGCCGATAACAGAGTCGGCTCCTGAAGCAACGAACCCCCGCCCCAGATGCTGCCTAGAGATAAAAAATGCGTCCACTGCAAGTAGCCTTCATATATTTTTATTTTCTTCTAAGTCCAGGATAACCTAGACAAAAAAAAATCAGAGGAGATAGAGAATGAGAAACATTTAGACAGGTATAGGTAGATAGGGTCATTTGGGATAGAATGGGTCAATCTTCGGGGAAAAAAACAAGTCCGTTAGACCTTATCTGCTTTCTTTCAATCAGATCCGTTCACGACATGCACTGAATTAATATTTTTCAGAACAACAAACCCTTTTAACCATCAGGCAGGCGAAAAGTAGAAAGAGGACAATCCTTTCCTTCATCCCAAATAGGCATAATCAATCTTCTTTGCAAGCATCCTTCTACCTACCTGCACAGATCGCAAAGCAAAACAGACAAGTTCAAAGGAAACCAATGCGATTTCATATCCAAGTCAGACCTTACCATTCACATGCGAACACACATTTCCTTTGCCATTTTCAAAGAATATTCAATGAACAGGGTCAAGCAAGTGTGGGTTCACACAGGTGTGAAGAGACATCTAAGTCAGTCAACTGACCTCGAGTGAAGATGGAAATGGCTCACTCAAGAAAACCGTATGATATTCCAATCAAATGAAAACAACGATCGTCGAAGTCCTAAGTGCGCAGCTCACAACTTTCCCATTGTGGCCGTTCCACTACGCCATAATCCCCATGTAGTTACAAACCTCAAACCATCTTGCTTCCAGAACCTCCCCAATGCAGCCCCAATTTGCAGACCCCAATTGCAGTTCCAACCTCACAAAGTTGGTCCTCGATGGAACCCGGATCTCAACTGCATCACGTCCCCAACGACAATCCCAAACCAACTCACCAGTCCAAACCTCCTCCAACTATTGCGTTAAACGCCAAGTCAGCCCCACTTGGTCCCAAAGTGGTCCAAAATTGCCGCCTGCAATTCCAACCAGTTCAGACCCCTGAACCGTGCCGAGCGTACTACATAAAAATAAAGGTGACCTTGCGCACAAAAATACACGCGTTGTGCATCCCAATCGATCACCAGAGTTTTTCACTGCCCAAAAAAAGTCGGACAGCACTACCGCATCACTGCCGCAAATGCCGCTGCTATCGTCGAAAAAACAAGTAGCACTACCGCACTGCCGTCAAAATGTCACTGCCGCCACAAAGAAAAACGGGCAGCGCTTTCGCACCGCCGTCAAGATGTCACTGCAGTCGCAAAAAAAACGGGCAGCGCTCTCGCACTGCCGTCAGAATGCCACTGTCGCCGCAAAAAAAATGGGCAGCGCTTCCGCACCGCCGTCAAAATGCCACTGTCGCCGCAAAAAAAACGGGCAGCGCGTCCTCATTGCCGTTAAAAATGCTGCCGCCGCCGAAACAATTGGGCAGTGCTTTCGCGCCGCTGCCGCAGTTACCGCAAAAGTAGCAGTGCCTCCCCCACGACCGTCGTTATGACTGCGGCTATAGCCGGCAGCACCTTCACCCTTGCTGAGATGGTGGCTATGGGAGCCTCCTCTCTCAGCCTCTATTGCAGACCTCCACTCTCCTCCTCCAGGCAGCACTTCCTCTAGCAGCAGCACCTCGCACCGGCAGCTACTCCATGCCCCTCCTAGCTGTGCGTAGCTGCTCCCGGACCTCAATCCACTCCTAAGCTCCCGAGTGTCATGTATCAAGCCTTAGGTCTCACTACGCGCCCATAGCCTCATGCTATGTCAAGCTGCTGCTCCGCTGTGCCTTTGCTTGGGTCCACCCCTTCCTAATATAATCATGGAGGTGGGGCACACACATCACTTTAGTTATGGGTCCATATGTGCCTCTATCTGCCTTCACTCGAGCTGCTGAATCCCGCAATCACTCTGTGACTGCCACTTGTGACTTTTCCTTGCTTCCTCTGCTGTCACTGTGGAATATAGTTGTTGTGACCCATAACTTTCATTGTCCAGCTTGCTTCGCCTCGTGTATATATATATGTCCCTCTGCAGGCTTGTACATCCTGTGATGATGGCTTCAAGCTGTCTCGGCTCTGGACCCAAGTTCCGGAGCAGCCTCTCATTAAAAATGGGGGCAAGCTCAGTCCGCATGGGTTTGAGCCCAAGCAGCCCTCATAGGGCTTCAATACAAGGCGGATAAGTCAAGCCCTTTGCTATCTGGACGGCTGCCAATTCGGAGGCTTCAAAGCCTTACAGCCTCAGTCTGACCATAGACTTGGGCGGTCCAAAATCATGCACCCAGTTATCCATGAATAACTTGATAACGTGTTCAGTCCTTGCAGTCTCAAGCATGGCTATTAGTCTCGCATACTTGTGAAGCTGTCTACTATGATGAAATGTTCCTTTTGCCACTCTTGCTGGTCATGAGGGTACCCATGAAATCCACGGAGACACTCTTGTCCCAGACCAACAGGAATGGGCAAGGGTTTGAGTACGCGGCTTGTCCCGCTGACAGACTTGACAAGTCTGTATGTACTTCCTTGCATCGTCAAGCATACTAGGCCACCAAAATCACTGAACTAAATTAGCACTAGTCTTCTTATATCCAAAGTGACATGTCGCATCATGACACTAACCTGGAAATAAACTATGCAAAATCTCGCTAGATGGCACATATAGTCTTTAGAACCCTGCCTTTTCAAGAAAGAGTAATCCGTCCACCATCACAAACTCGTCAAATGTCGCTTTTTTTCGCATCTAGTTGGCCTATGATGCCCATCATGACGGGATCTTCCTTGTAGGCATCCACCAATGATCGAGTTACATTGTGAAATAGGCCAAACTCCGTAATCAGCGCACCTAAGTAGTCTGCCCTATAGGACAGCGCATCAACAACCGTGTTGTACTCCCCTTTCACGTAATCCAGCTTGAAGTCGTATTGATCTATGACTTCAATCCAGCGTTTGAGTGCATCAAAAAAAACAGGCTGCGTCTTAATCCACTTGCTGTACTCCCCTTTCACGTAATCCAGCTTGAAGTCGTATTGATCTATGACTTCAATCCAGCGTTTGAGTGCATCAGAGAGAACAGGCTGCGTCTTAATCCACTTGAGTGTCTGATGGTCAGTTCTCAAATAGAAGATCCTTCCCAACAGATAGTGTCTCCAATGGACAAGAGCCTTGTAAAAGACGTAGAGTTCCCTTTCATAGGTTGACTTCGCGAATTTGTTTGACGACATATTTCTGGTCATGTACTCAATTGGTCTCAACTTCTCATTCCTTGCTGGGCCAGCACTGCGCCTATGTCGTATTGGCTTGCGTCGGCGGTCACGACGAATGGCGTCTCCAGCCATGAGAACTTCATGAGGCATGAGGGCATGCTTCAATCTTTTGAAAGCAGCCTCGCATTTGTTTGTCCATTCCCATGGTGTCTCAGGGCGTGTAAGATCAGTCAAGGGGGCGGTCACCATAGTATACGTCTTAACGAATGCTATAGTTGCCTTCCCATCTTCGGGCCTTATCCCCTCCGTGGATATCTCATGACCCAAGTACAAGATTCTAGTACAACTGAACTCGCATTTCTCTAAATCATAGTTGCAGCCGCACGAGCCACACATTCGTGTGGTGCGGTGCGGAGTACGGCGTGCGGGAGGTGCTCGATCTCCGCACATTCCGCACCCGCACAGACCAAATCCGTGCGGGGGGTGGCTGTGCGAGTGCGGAAATGTGCGGGGACGTGCGCTACGTGTACCGCACCCTGCGGAGCCGTGCGGGACGTTTTTTTTTTTTTAAGGGGGTCTGAGGGGTCCGAACGTGCTGCTCCTTGATCAAATCTTTCCTTGGCCATGCCGGCGGCGAACTTGCTGCTCATCATTGCGACTTGCACACATCAAACATGGGCAGGACCACCAAATCAGCCATAGTCCCCATTACATCCCCAATTCACCCACACCAGACTCTGTGTCCTCCCCCATCCCGCCGTAGACTCCTCCACAACCACCGCCCCCTTTCAACATGGCTGGCCAAACAGGATGAACTAAAAAAAAAAAAAAAATCAAATTGCCAGCAGTTGCTGTCTTCGGAAGTCTGCCTTCAAATCACGTGGACGATTATAAAAATAATTAATAATATAACAAAAACAAAGAAGAAAAGACAAAAGGAGGTATGTTGTCTGCCTTGAAATCAAGTGGAGGAGAGATGCACAACAGATGCAGGAGATATGGAGGAGAGATGGAGAGATGGAAGAGAAAGGTGGTGAATGGAGGAGAAATGAAGGTGGAGGGGATACGAGAGGGAGATGGGGATATAGAGGAGAGATGGAGGGGAGAGGGCGAGATACGGAGGTGGAGGAGAGATGGACATGGAGGAGAAAGGTGGAGGTAAGGAGGAGAGATGATGTTGCACCTGGTCGAGGCATGGTGGAGAGATGAAGGTGGAGGCATGGAGGAGAAATGAAGGTGGAGGGTGGACGAGAGATGGAGGAGAGATGGAGGAAAGATGGAGGAAAGATGGATAGGTGGAGGACAAAGGTGGAGGCATGGAGGAGAGGTGAAGGTGGAGGGTATATGAAGGACAACTGGAGGAGAGATGCAGGAAAGACTGACAGTTGGACAAACGTGGAGGCATGGAGGAGAGGTGAAGGTGGAGTGTATATGGAGGACAAATGGAGGACGGATGGACGACAAATGGACAAGTGAAGGATGAAGGTGGAGGCATGGAGGAGAGATGAAGGTGGGGATACGGCGGGGAGACTGGGATATGGCGAGCACCGAGTCCAGGAACAGGAAACAACGGAAAAAAAGACGAGCGGTATTTCCAGCGTTTTCCAGCGGAGGGGATATGGCGAGGAGATGGGGGGTTATAGTAGGACCTAGAGGACGACGAAGGAGAGTAGATATGGAGGAGGAGAAGAGGAGGAGGGAGAAAAAGACAATACATGAACCCCTAAAGTGCCTTATGCATCAAGCCCTAACAGCCCCTGCGCATCAAGCCCTACAGGCCCCTATAGATCAGCATGACCCCTGCGCAAGGATGACAAACAAAAATCGAAAAAAGGTCGAACAAGAAAACCAGGCTCCTTCGGGACATCCGTTGCAATGGGAACAACACAGAGATGATTACCATGACCCTGACGCAAGGATGACACATGATTCGAGAAAAGGTCAAAAAAAAAAACAAAAAACAGCTCAATAGATTGGATTATTTTCAAAATTTCGATACCTAGGTGAGAGAGGAGGAGGACGATGTGGACGCAGAGGTCTTGCTAATCTTTTCTGTATCGTTCCCAATCCTCCTTCGTTTGGTGACTTTGGGAACGATGCAGAGAAGATTAGCACGACCTCTGCGCAAGGATGACACGCACAAAATTTAATCGCGAAAACTTTGGGAAAAAAAAAAGCTCGACAGATTCGTTACCTGGGTGGGAGAGGAGGAGGACGTGGACGACGAGGGCGACAAGGAAGGGGAAGAGGACGACCTGAAGGAGGAGGGCGACGAGGACGACGAGGAAGGGGAGGAGGAGGAGGAGGAGGAGGAGGAGGAGGAGGAGGGCAACGAGGGCTGCGAGGAAGGGGAGGAGGAGGACGAGCGGGAGGAGGAGTGAGACGAGGGCTCGATAGATTCGTTACCTGGGTGGGAGAGGAGGAGGACGTGGACGACGAGGGCGAAGAGGAAGGGGAGGAGGATGACCTAGAGGAGCAGGGCGACGAGGGCGACGAGGAAGGGGAGGAGGAGGAGGAGGAGGAGGAGGGCGACGAGGGAGACAAGGAAGGGGAGGAGGAGGAGGAGGAGGGCGACGAGGGTGACGAGGACGGGAAGGAGGAGGAGGAGGAGGAGGAGGAGGGGAAGGAGGAGGAGGAGAACGAGGAGGGCGACGAGGGCGACGAGGTAGGGGAGGAGGAGTAGGACGAGCGGGAGGAGAGGAGAAGCATGCAGAGGAGGCAGTGAGGAGGATGAAGGGGAGGACAACACTCCTCGTAGGAATGGTCGTGGCCGACCAGAAACCTACCCAAGAGGCCCAACCAAGCCCACCCACACACAGTACAAATAGGTTTTGAAATTTTGAAACCTCGCGGTCCAGCCTTGAGCGCGGGCCCAAAATTTTTTTTTCAGTCTTGGCATCAATATTGGCGGGGGGCCTCCAATGTGTTGTTTCGACCCACGCCTTTTTTTTTTTTTTTTTTTTTTGGGGGGGGGGGGGGGGGGGGGCCGTTCCCCGCCCACCTCATGCGCCTTGCGGGAACGGCCGGGCACTTGCGGGGAACGTCGGGAAACTCGCGCACGACGTGCGCTTGCAAGTATGCTCTAAATTGATCTTATATTTGTGTCGTCGTAGGAGTGAAATTGAAGTTTCTACATGCAGGAATGCTCCTCCACTGTCCTACTAAAGATAAGAATATTGTGGAGGTACACGACGATGAACTTATCCAAGTAGTTATGGAACATCCTATTCATGGCATGCTGGAATGTACCCGACGCATTGCAAAGACCAAAGGGCATCACCACAAACTCGTACAGACCGTACCTGGTATGAAATGCGGTTGTGTGCTGGTCCTTTGGTCTAACGGCAATCTCATGGTAGTCGAACTTTTAAGTCTTTGTGAAGTACTTACATCCCTGCACCCTATCCGGAAGGTCGTCGATGCACGGTAGAGGCTCTGCGTTCTTAGCGGTGATGGCATTGAGGCCTCTTAAATCAATGCACATCCTTAGTGTCCCCCCTTCTTCGGAACAAATAGAACTGGCGAGCCGCCAAAGGGGGAGGCTTCAGTTGCCGACGAAGCTCGTCCAACTCAGTCGGAGCCATCCTATAGATTCTTCCCTTTGGTGTCTTGCTACCAGGGATGATCTCTATGGCATGGACAACCTCCCTATCTACAGATCAGGGTATTTAACGACGACATTTTCTATCTTTGGGGTGTTTTAACAACCTTCCCTTTTCTCAGAGACAAAAACTACATACATACCCTCCTCTTGGTTTTGTTTATAATAATTGTGGAATGCTATTGCGCACATACAACCATAAGTGTGCATCAGACTGCTAGCCTCGTACTTCGTGAGTCTGACTGTCCTCCCTTCCGGTGATACACGCTTGAGCACCTTTCGGTCACAGTCACACTAAGGTTTTTCGACCTCAAGGTAGTGCATACCTAACAACATGTCGAATGGCAAGTCATCGCTGACGAGCAACGAAATCTGTGATAAAGTTCCCAGCCTCCATAATAGAAGGTGCAGACTACGTCCTTGACGCAGGAATTGACAACCACGCGCTTCTTGTTGGCCAGGGTAGAGGCTACAGATCTACCCAAGCGCTGCACCCAGTCCCTAGGCGCAGTCGTGACTTATGAAGTTCTGCGCGGAGCCAATATCTACGAAGGCACCACACTTGCCGCCACCTACACCGACTTCCACCACGAAATGCTCCCGTCTAGGACCTCTAGACAGTGCCACCCAAGACTCACGAGGGTCCCTTGCCGACCACTCCGTTGCTACCTCTTTAAACACATCCAACGAACAAAGCATTGTTTGGTAGATGTGTTTGCATTGTGACTAGCGAGTCAATAGCTTCGGGCAACTCCTGAAGTGGTGAGGGAGGACTTGCTCCTTGGGGATGATATCCTGGAGGTGCACATACGAATTTATGTTGGCCTCCCAATTATCGAAGTTCTCTCCCTTTTTCCCACTGTAGGGATCACGAAACTTCACTTTTACTCGCTATCTACGGGGACGTGCTTCGTCCTTCTTCGGGGGCGTTATTTTGGCAGCTTCTATCACACTTGCACAAAACTTCTTTATATTGTCTAAACCGCGTGTGCACTTTTGTGCCCACACACAACATCATACCACGTGCAAAGTCTTTAAATCCTAAGTGTATGGACTGCAAGGCGATATCGTGGCCCCTCTTATGGCAGAATTGCTCTTGCTGCGCCCTCAATCGTACCTCTACGTTTTGGGACAGGAGCCCAACTTGGGTCTTGAGATCAGCGGGCTCCTCCAACCTCCCTTCTCTGCAGCCTCATTCATACTCTTTTCCATCTCATCCGCAGCCTCCATTCCTAATCTCCTTTCCCTTGTGAGGCGCAACTTCCACTCCAGCCTCTTCTCCTCTTCCATAGTTTGCGTACGCAAGGGATTGGTCTCCGCCTGAATCTCCCTTACCGCCGCCTCCCTCGCGGCCTGGGGAACATATAACATCGCTTCTTCTTCTTCCCCCAGCGACAGGTTCGCCACCCACTCGGTCACCATTTTTTCCAACCTTGTGTCTGTCGGCTTCGTGCCACTTGACTCCCCGTTCTCCTCTCTTTTCCTATGCATCTCCGGGGGAGTGCCTTTTTCTTTTTTTTTTTTCTTCTTCATCCATTGAGGTCGCAACTTCCTCTTTCTCCTTCTGCAGCCTCTTCAACTCCTCTGATCCTTCTTTCTTTGCTTTTTCTTTCAGGAGTGCTAACTTCTTCGCCTTCTTCTGCAGCTCATTCTTCTCTCTCCTGGCCTTCTGCTCGACCAATATCCTCACAGCCTCCTGCTCCTGCTCCTTCGTATAAGGAGTGGTCCCTGTACCACCCCTCGTCTCAACTCTACACGTCGATGTGTGCCAGAAGCCTACTGGGAACAGGAAACGCCAGAGGGTCGCCCAGAGGGAGAACCCCATGAGCAAGTCGTACATCAAGTAGTCATCCATGGTGCCAGGTGTACGACAAGGCACTGTCCCACTCCTCACCACTTAGACTTACCCACAGACTCACAAACGGACTCTCTGACTCATTGGCTATCACTACAGGACTTCACTGCTGATCAGGAGGCATTTAAGGAGATCCCCCGTAACTCCTCAGGAATTCTTTAACGTCGCAAACAGGACGATGTGATCAGCACAGTCCTCTCAACACTTAGACAGTTGGTTGTGCAACCCACAACTCCGATTTTGGGCCAACCATGCCTCTCTACGACCTCATGCGTGGATTCCTATCACCTGGACAAAAGTGACTCGATGCAGAAAGAAGAGAGACAAACTCCGCAAGTACCATGGGGTGAGTCCACATACATAAGGCGAGGGGGTAGGCTGAAGGCTTGGCGAGATTATACCAACTCCAGCTTGGTCAAACTTGTGGTCAACGACCTTGGTCAATGTCGGTCAACTTGGCCAACATCCAATCAAACATCGTCAGTCAACTCTCTTGACCCCAGCTATGGTTGCCGACCTTCTCCTTCATCGCTAATGTCTTCTCTCTCCTCCGTGGTCCTCTCTTCTTCTCGCCCCTCCTTGGCTATGGCTTCTTTCTCCCCCTTTGTCTCTCCTTCCTCCTTGCTTTTCTTTATCTCTCCTTCCTCCTTGCTTCCTCTCTCTCCTTCTTCGTCACTTCATCTTCCCACACGGTTGTCTCCTTCTTCAACTCGAGCTCGGCGGCTATTACCACCACCTTTCTTCCTCGGTTGCAACAACCAATCTTCTCTCTCTCTCTCTCTCTCTCTCTCTCTCTCTCTCTCTCTCTCTCTCTCTCTCTCTCTCTCTCTCTCTCTCTCTCTCTCTCTTTCTCTCTCTCTCTCTC